ATTCGATGCTCCTTTTTTGTATGTGACCGTATAGTGAAAATTCGACTCGAGGAAATCGAGCCATCGAATCTGTCGTGGGTTGAGGTGGGGCTGTGCGCGGAGGTACTGTAGAGATCGGTGGTCTGTCCGTACTGTCACGTCTGCGCCAGTCAAGTAGCAGCGCCAAACTTTGAATGCATGCACGATCGCGAGCATTTCGCGGTCGTGTATCGGGTAATTTCGCTCAGGCGGATGTAGTTTTCGTGATTCGTAGGCGATGGGTTGGAGGCCGTTGCCGAAGTCCTGTAACTATACAGCTCCGATGGCGATGTCACTTGCGTCGGTAACCACTTCGAAAGGGCGGTGGGGATCAGCGATGCGTAGGACGGGTGGTGAGCAGAGAACGTTTTTTAGGGCAGAGAAGGCAGCATGCTCTTTCTCCCCCCACGTAAAAGCGACCCCCTTACGCAGTAAATCAGTTAGTGGGGCTGTTAAACGTGCCATGTCGGGCACGAACCGTCGAACGTAATTAACAAACCCTAAAAAACTCTGCAGTTCCGTGATGTTCGTCAGGGGGCGCCACGCTTTTACTGTGTCCAGCTTCTTTGGTTCAATCTCAACCCCAGCCTCTGAAATGACGTGACCTAAAAACTCTAGCCTATCCTTAAAAAACTCGCACTTGGAGCCCTTGGTGAGCAGCCGATGTTCCTCTAAAACCTTAAAAACTGCTTCAAGATCTGCTAAGTGTTGCTGCTTATCCCGACTGTAAACGAGGATATCGTCGAGGTAAACGATCACGCATTTATCTAAAAGTGGCCTAAATGCCTCGTTCATGGTCATCTGAAAAGTCGCAGGCGCGTTCGTCAACCCGAAGGGCATTACTGTATACTCGAATGACCCGTACCTAGTCCTAAATGCTGTTTTTGCACAGTCCGATGGTTCGACGCGAATCTGATGGTAACCTCACCGTAAATCTATTTTCGAAAAGACACGTGCTGTTCGCAGTTGGTCAATCATTTCGTCGGCGCGTGGGATGGGGTATCGCGATTTGACTGTTACTCGGTTAAGCGCTCGGTAGTCGATGCACATGCGAAAACCTCCGTCTTTTTTCGGTGTGAACAGTATGGGTGCGGCGAACGGTGACGAGCTCGGTCGAATAAACTGCTTCTCTAACAGGTAATCTAACTGCTTCCTTAACTCGTCGAGCTCGGGCTGTGTCAGTCGAAATTGCCGCTGTACTGTTGCCTGTGCCCCCGGTTCTAGCTCGATCCTATGGTCGTGCGCTCGCTGAGGTGGCAGTCCCTGTGGTAAATCATCCGGAAATATCCCCGGGAACCGTTTCAGTAGTGCCTGTAATTCGGTCGGTACGGCTGCTAGCAGTTTCTGTAAATCATTCTGCTGCTCGTCTTTTTCTACTACTGCGATATCCACTGCGTACACGTCAGCTCCAGCAGCGACAGCCCGTTTCATCGCGATGGCGTTGACCTGGACTGTCGAAGATTCGGGTGGCCGCCAGCGAGGTAGGACGACCCAGTTACCGCTACTTCGCACTGTGCAGCTCCCCGTCGTCCAGTCGATCCGTGGGCTGTACCGTCGCAGCCAATCACGTCCCAGTAAAATGTCGTGCCCATCCAGCGTCGTTGCGAGCATTTCCTGTGTAAACCCGAAGTTTCCCCCGCAGCGGACTTTTACTCGCTCCACTTTTTCTCGTATGGCCAATGGCGTGCCGTCGACTAAGCGTGCATCTATCTCAGGTAAACATCGGGTAAGTGTTAACTGTAATTTCCGTGCGGTTGCAGTATTAACTAAGCTGTGACTTGCTCCTCCATCAATGAAGATTTTCACTGCTGCTCCCTGTATTTTCCCGTAGATCAGTACCGGGCAATCCGTCGCTGTACCCTCCTTATTCATCCGAGCCCGATCGATGGCGTGAATCGGTACTGTGACTCGGTGAGGGTCGGTGTGGTTGGGCGAGCAGGCAGTCTCGTCAGTAGTTGGCCCAACTTCTACTGACTGCTGGCGTTTCCCTGCCTCTGAGACTCCTTCCCCTGCTCTGCTCCTCGACGCCTCAGCTCCTCTGGACATTCGCTCTTGCGATGGCCCGGCCGGTTGCAAGCAAAGCAGCGCCCTCTAAATGGCGTGGCAGCTGCATTCGTTGCGACGGCATGTACAGTGGCGTGCTCGATCGGTCCCCGAGGGCGATGTCCGAAATAGGACCCCGGTCTCGGTCGGCGTAGGATATCGATTTTCTCGGCGAGCGCGAGGATTTCGTTGAAATTTGATAGCCCGCGTAGCATTATCTCGTGCGATATATCCGGCTTCAGACCTCCGACGTAACGGTCCACCCGCTCCGCCTCGTGCATGTAGCCGACCTGTTCGCAAAGTGCGAGAAAACCGCTGGTGTAGTCTTGAACCGACCCGAGCTGGCGCCAAGTGCGCAGTTTCTGACGCGCCGAAATCGAAGCCGCGATCGGCTCAAAACGCGCCCGAAGCCCTGCGCACCACGCATCCCACGTGCTGTATTGGGCTGTTTCGCAGAACGAACTCCAGGTGACAGCTGGACCCGAGGGCCCTTCCTCGTGCGACGGTGGCTCGTAGGCGCGTGGCGACGTCACGATGACTCGCCACCAGTCCATGGCGGGGCCCCTGAGTAGTGAAACCGCATACCGAATCTTGGCGGCGTCCGACTCGACGTAGTTGGCGTCGAAAAACACATTCATCGTGAAGACCCACGATTGAACTGTCGGGCCGCCGCGTTGGCTTGGGTCGAAGCAGGGCGGGCGTTGCGGCTTGAGTGGCATTGGGGCCATCATGGCGTTTTCACCACTTGTCGTCGCAAACTCCACGTGCCGACGGGCTTCTCGGGGCTCCCGTGGGCTTAGCGTGCTCCTGTTCCCTCCCATGCCGGGCATCGGTTGGGCTGCGCCGTCACTGGCTGCGCCTGAGCGCTGTCCCGTGCTGTTGTGTTGCGTTGGTGTGCCGGATGAAATGATAATCGGCTCCTCCGAATGTACAGAGACATTGGTTGGTGCGTGGGATGTTGTCGGAGCATTCACCGTTGACTGTTGACGGGCGGAGTCACGTTCCGCCGTGAGCGTCGCGATTTCAAGCACCGAATCCTCCAATTGTCGCACGAGACGATCGAGTTGCTCCTGCGTCAACGTGGCGAGATTGAGGTCGGCCATGGCGGGGGTGTCGGGCAAGCTCAGCGAGAGCCTCGGTCGTGGCCGTGCGTGCTTGCGAGAGAGCACTACGAGCGGCGGTGCTGTGTCGCTGAGAGACGTCTACCCCCCCCAAAAATTGAGATAGTGGGAAGCGAAGGTGTGGATGCGGTCCGAGATGAGATCGTAGGCTCTGAATACCAAGTGTTACGAGTGCAATTGAGTGAACGAACGAGAATTGCACTATCGAAGCAAAAGTACAATGAGTGAAGGCATGAGCGAAGGATTATATAGCGAAACAATAGTGGTAACGGTAATGGACTGTGGTTGTCGCGCGTCGAGCCTGGGACTGAGGTTGGGAAAGTGTCGAAGCGTAGGCCCGGAGCGCGGGTTACCAGCCGAGCCGTGAGGTCGGGATGCGATGTGCGAAAAAGGGCGGGATGATGAATGATGCGATGGTCGCGAGTGGTAACGGTGCTGACTGAGGTGCTACAGTGACGTACGCGCTGGGCAGGGACGCGAAGTAAGGAAAAGGGAATTTCCTTACATCAACCATTGGATGCGATTTCTTACACTAAAATCCTGCACTTCTAAAAACCTGTAAGGAATTTTCTCGACATTCCTTAGCGCGCCCTGCAACATCGCGTACAGCCGCAGCCGCTGTTCGCCCGTTACTGCTAACGGGGCTTCACCGACTTCGCGCGCACTGTTTCACCAAACCTCGCACTGCTGGCCCGCCCGGCCGTGTCGGCCTACGCTTCGGGACTAGCCCGAGCCTCGCTGCCAGCGTAGCACCAGCTAGCTCGCACGCACCGCGTTACCGTTTGCATGTTTCGCGTATAAATGTTCGCTCATGCCTTCGCTCACATTTTGTACTCGTTTGACACCTTAGTGCAATCCTCGCTACCTCGATTCATTGCACCCGTAACAAAACCTTTATTTCGACACGCATGTGTCGCTCAGTAGCTTTCGCCACCGAACCATCAAGTGAATCGTTATCTGTAAATCAGGAATACATTCAGAACTTCACGCATGTGCAATCATTAGGCTCAACCATTTCAAAGAAATGATATACCGTCTCTCACAGAAGAATAATATCACCCGACTGTACAAGTGTTTGGATCGGCCTATATCGCAGAATGTGGAGCTCTCCAGGCGCCATGCCGATGACATCATCAAGCCTGGAGGTTTGGAAGAGGTTTGGAAGAACAGAGTGTGAGTTTCAGGAAAGAAAAGCTAGGGGGGGGGGGGGGGGGGGGGGGGGGGGCAGAGGGAAGAACAGATAACAGGGTTGAAAGATACATGAATACGAAAGCCTCTTGTTCAAACGGAACATGAAATAGATGTCACACCTCAAAAGGAACTCGGGATATGAGAAGTTCAGCTTATTTTCCTCTCTTCTCTGAGAACCCGAATACTCCACCTTGCATCCTAGAATCCATTTTTTCAACCTATATAACTCACTGGGGATCAATCTCTACAGACAGAAGAAGGCGTGTGGAGGCACAGAACATGCAAACATATCAACGGCTCAAATGCGTGATGTTTTGCCTGCCTTCCCTGTTATTCGATTCCGAAAATTCTCAAAAGCTGTTTGATCTATTGAACCAGTTACTCCTCAGTAATACTCACTGGGTCCAGCTCAACAGATGGTAGGGGACTGGTGGCCACTCAGAACACAAGACGTGAACAGAACACTAATGTCCCAGCGGTAATAAGTCACAACCTGTTACCCCTGGTTGCACTCACTCTGGGTCCAGCTGAACAGACAGCAGAGGGCGAGTGGCCACACAGAACACAAGATGTGAACCAAACACAGCCGTTATAAGTCACAACCTGTTAAACCTCTGTATTACTCACTCGGGGTCCAGCTGGACAGACGGCAGAGGGCGAGTGGCCACACAGAACACAAAAGTGTCGAGGTCGGGAGTGGGGACTGCAGAGGAGGGGGTCATCCAGTTAGAAAGAGATGGGTAATGTGGTTTGGATATCAAGGGTGGTTTGGACAGCTGGACAGACGGCAGAGGGCGAGTGGCCACACAGAACACAAAAGTGTCAAGGTCGGGAGTGGGGACTGCAGAGGAGGGGGTCATCCAGTTAGAAAGAGATGGGTAATGTGGTTTGGAAATCAAGGGTTTGGACAGCTGACAGACGGCAGGGGGCGAGTGAGTGGCCACACAGAACACGAAAGTGTCAAGGTCGGGAGTGGGAACTGCCAAAGAGGGATTAATCGGTTGGGAAGAGACGGTAGTGTGGTTTGGAAATCAAGGGTAGCTCGGCCAGCTGAACAGACGGCAGAGGACGAGTGGCTACACAGAACACAGATGTGTCGAGGTCGGGAGTGGGGACTGCCAAATAAGGGGTATTCAGTGGAAATGACATGGGTAAGTTGGCTTAAAAGATCCGGGTCTATCAATATGAAAAACAGGGGTAGTCCAAAGGCACTTGTAATCTGGAAGCTAGGAAATGAGCTTTCATATAAGTGAAAACTGCATAACTCATTCACATTCTAGGTGACTGGTACGGATGGGTGAATCCTGAGCCTCAACTTACTCATACTCATGGCATAGCAGAAATGTGCCTGTTTCACCAAGCAGACCATGAAACCCTGAGTCTTGTTTTGAGTCGACTCAAAACAACACTTACTCATACTCATGGCATAGCTGAAATCCGCCTGTTTCAGCGTGCAGACCATGAAACCCTGAGTCCAGCATTCATTCATGAATTCTCAAACCCTCAAACTCTACAACACGAGATCTGCCTGCTTGAAATTTGACCTGTAGCGCCGTGGCAAGCACGAGAGCACAGCAGAGGCCCAAAGTCCAGCTCACTCACACACAAGCTCTTAACCCTCCATCCATGAACCCTTAATTTGTGATTCTAGTACTCACTCATATCAGGGGCTTCTCGGGAGACAGCTTGCTTCAGCAGCGTGGCAAGCGCAAGAGTGCAGCAGAACCCGTAAGTCCAGCTCTCTCACACACAAGCTCTTAACCCTCCGTCCATGAGCCCCTAATCACAGCCCTGTGATTCTACCACTCACTCATCTCAGGGGCTTCACTGCAGTACGCCTGCTTGAGAATGGACTGGTAGCAGGGCAGGCGAGGGAGTACAGAGGAACCCTTGCATCCAGCGCTCACTCACAAACTCTGAAACCCTTCATCCATCAACCCTTCATCTGTGATTGTAGCACTCACTCATATCTGGTGTTTCGCTCGAGTCCGCCTGCTTCAGGATGGACTGGTAGCGGCGTGGCAGGCGCGTGAGCGCAGTCCTGTCCAGATGCGCCTGCACCAGATCTACCTGCCTGGAGGACACAGGGAGAAGATGGCGATCGAGAGTTAAGCGAGAAACACGGTCTTGTCCAGGCACGCCTGCACCAGATCTACCTGCCTGGAGAAGAGAAGAAAGAAGATGGTAGAGAGGGAAGATGGTAGAGAGGGAAGATGGTAGAGAGGGAAGATGGTAGAGAGGAAAGATGGTAGAGAGGGAAGATGGTAGAGAGGGAAGATGGTAGAGAGGGAAGATGGTAGAGAGGGAAGATGGTAGAGAGGGAAGATGGTAGAGAGGGAAGATGGTAGAGAGGGAAGATGGTAGAGAGGGAAGATGGTAGAGAGGGTTGATCGGGGAGCGCAGTCCTGTCCAGATGCGCCTGCACCAGGTCTACCTGCCTGACAGGAACCAGGTGAGCCGGGAAGAGGAGGGGGGGGAAAAAAGAGGTAGATTTGAGAGCGGAGTCCTGTCCAGATGCGCCTACACCACATCTACCTTCCTGGAGCAAGAATTGGTCATTCTAAAAGCACCAGATCATTAAGGGGAAGAAGAGGGGGAGGACGTTTGAGGAACCTCAAGAGCAAGCACGGCCCTGACCAGGTGCGCCTGAATCAGATCTACCTGCCTGCAGGAAACAGGAAGGGGAGGCGGAGCAGGAGGGGTGGGTGATAATGGGTTGCAATACATCTATGAAAAAAAAAAAAAAAAAAAAAAAAAACAGGGAAAGCACGACAACACTGACAGTTTTGTATACCAGAGCACAAGAGCAAGCACACACTCTTGCTACGCTAATAACCACACACGTACTCGTCACAAATTTACAGACATGTACGAACAGAAACTAGTTCATTGATTCTCAAGCTGGCTGTTGAAAAAACGCACGCGCCCTCATCCAACCAGACCAGACCAGCCTTCCCATGTGAATCAAGGGGTTCGTTTCAATGCCCAGGAGTGCTTACCTATTGAGTTAATGGAATGGAAATAGGGCCTTCACAGCCCATCTGTCCACCTTCACCTGTTTCGCTCTCAAGTGATCATCAGAGGACTTCTCAAATCGTCTCAAAAACTCGTTTCTTGTGAGAGCAATGGAGATCGCCTCTCACAGCTTCTCAGAGCAATAGATGGGGCACACACAAGCAAGCAAGCACGCGTACCTGTCACAGTACCGCTATTCCCCACGTTAGCCCCGGCCGTGGCATTCTTGAAAAGAGCACTAGAGAAAGCACACAGCAGCAACCACGCATACCTGTCACATTGCCGCTGTTCCCCACGTCAGCCCCGGCTGAGGCATTCTCGAAAAGTTGAAGAGAACTAGATCAAGCAAGCACACACACTCAAGCACACGTACCTGTCGCAGTAACGCTGCTCTCCATCTGACAGCCGGCTGTGGTAGCTCTCCTCGCCAGCAAAGTGCAGAAAGAAGCGGTCGATCTGCATTTGGGGTGGGAGAGAGGAGGGAGAGAGTAGTAGAAACAACAGACTTGAATGAGGTGGGAAATGCAGCTGCTCTCCATCTGACAGCCAGCGGTGGTAGCTCTCCTCACCAGCAAAGTGCAGAAAACATCGGTCGATCTGCATGGGAGGTGGGAGGGAGGAGGGAGAGAGAAGCAGAAACAACAAAGTTGAATGAGGTGTGAAATACAGCTGCTCTCCATCTGACAGCCAGCGGTGGTAGCTCTCCTCACCAGCAAAGTGCAAAAAGAAGCGGTCGATCTGCATGGGAGGTGGGAGAGAGGAGGGAGAGAGAAGCACAAACGAACGAGGTAAATGAACGAGGTGGGAAATGCAGCTGCTCCCCATCTGACAGCCGGCTGTGGTAGGCTTTATCCTCACCACCAATGAAGATACCAACTCGCCACCGCTACGCTAGCACCCACCCAACCACTCGCCTTCGGTATCCGGCATCGCAGGTATGCTCGGAGGAGATACTTGGTCCTGTGGACGTGCATCATATCATATGCACCTCCCTTTCCCACAGTAGCACCAATGAAGGTACCAGCTCACCCACCACTACGCCCCCAACACTCACCTTCTGTATTCTACACCTAAGGTACGCTCTGAGCAGGTACTTGGTTCTGTCGACGTCCATCATGTGAAGCTCCCTCTCCATGGCTTTGCGTCCATCCCCCTTCAACGCGTCAACCATCTCCTCCTGCACGATGCATGATTGCACACACACATGGTATCGCAATGTCTGAGGTGGTACTTGCTCAGTCCTATCCACGTCCCTGCCATCATGTGCAGCTCTCTCTCTCTCTCTCTCTCTCTCTCTCTCTCTCTCTCTCTCTCTCTCTCTCTCTCTCTCTCTCTCTCCTCTCTCTCTCTCTCTCTCTCTCTCTCTCTCTCTCTCTCTCTCTCTCTCTCTCTCTCTCTCTCTCTCTCTCTCTCTCTCTCTCTCTCTCTCTCTCTCTCTCTCTCTCTCTCTTTCTCTCCATGGTTTCCAAGAATATCCATGGATATCCACACTTACCAGCTCTTCTAGCCTCGCTTTAGTCCGCTCCACCAGCTCGGTTTCGTACGGAAGAATATCCGGCGCCGCTTTCTCGTTCTGCCACATCCTCCTCAGCAGTACCGAGTCACTCTCTATCGAGGCATTCAAGAAATCCTCTTCTCCCATCTCTCCCGTACCCCTAGCGTGTGCAGGAGCACCAGCATCAGCGTCGTCAACCCCTCTTTGGCTTTGAGTCGCCATCGATCTTCTCTTCTCACGAGGGAAAGCAAAAGGAGTCGGAGGTCTGCTTTAGTGGGAGAATGTATTTCTACAAATTTCAGAGCGATTTTGAGAAGACACACCAACAATATTGCAACCAGCGGGTCCCATCAATCTGAGAACGTACGCACGGACCTTTGGGAATGCTAAAAAACCCTCATGAGAATTCTGAAAAGCATTCTCCGACACCGATCGGCGGAAACCAGCACAGAGATTCAAACGGGCGAATTAGGCAATGAGGCTAACGGCTGGTCCTGCACGATCCGAGAAGTTCGCGGCTCGTTTAGTCCTCAAGCTACCAGCGTACACCCCACATCGTATCCTACACCATTGTGTAAAACTGATGTTCACAGTACATTCCGGAATACCGCTGAAATGATTTCAATATGGCTGGTGACCCTTAAGCTACTAGCGACTGCGCTCCCCACAGGGCAAATACGACATATGAAAGAGTAGTCTATGTGTGAAGCACACCCGCGTAGGAGTTTTTCGACTTATCCAGCATTTATTGTCAAATCTGGCATAACATGATGAAACTCTTGAGCACAGCACAATTCATGAAGAATTGAACGAGGCAGGGATTATTCAGCATTTGAAATTCAGTTTCACGAGGCCAGTTTCAAGCAGAATCACGGAATGATTTAACCTCATTGGTTGCGATATCCAATGCGACGTAGACGCTTTGTACCACAACCAAAGCTCGAGCGTCAGAAGAGGAGTTCAGACGATGGTTGCACATCGAATGCAGCTGTTCCCGATGTTGCATTCTTCGAGTGAAGAATATAAGTTGCCTAAAAGCATTTTGGTCACATTACAAGGTGTGATATTGTGATCACACCTAAAACCCAGTCCCGATGTCTGCTTTCAATGGTTGCCACACGGACGAGGCAAGGCCATGGCGATTTCTTTGCAACAACTGTACGCTTAATTAATGGTAACACTTACCGTATTACTGGTACCAGTACACCCATTACACTTTCCCTCACATGTCCAGAAGTAATGTGTCTCCCAGTTCCACCCTCTGCCACCCAGCTGCTGCCAGTGGTTGCCACAGAGGCATGGGAGGCAAGGCCATCGCAATCTCTTTGTACTCCTTATAGACTTCCTCGTGCCACGAGGCTGGCCAGCTCCGCATGCCCTGTTCTACGGTGGCCGCATATGGGTTACAGTTATTGCTGTTATGGACAGTGTTGCTGTTGCTTTCATGACTGTTGTTATTGTTTCTGTTCTTGTTGTGAGAGCTGTACAGAAGAAGTGAAACTGAGGCTTTCCACGTCAGCAGTGCCTTCATCCTCTTTAGAAGCTGCTCCTTTGCAGGGCTGTGGCTTCTACTTTCTGCACGGGTGTCAAAGGGAGGTGTGCAAGAAAAATGATTATTTTCCAAGAGTATAAGAGAATTCCCATTCGTACTGCTTGATTCAAGTGTGCATATGTTACATCTCACAATACCGAGCCCATCCCTTTCACACTGCACACATCCATCACCCACCTTGCAGCCGATCAATGAGCCTCAACTGCCTCTTCACATGCCCGATGCCGAACTGCACCGCTTTCCACCACTCCCTCCTCTCCCACCACACCTGCAGCACCACTTTCCTGGCCCTCGCTTCCTTCGCTGCTGCTTCTTTTCTCGCTGCACCTTCCCCTCTCCTTCCCCCATCTCTCTCCCCTACTACAGCTGCCACTACTGCTGCCCCTCTCCCAGCCGCACCAGCAAAGGCTGAGAGCCACACAGCCTTTATGATCCCTGCCAGTCCCCACCAAGCAGCCAGTCCCCACCAAGCAGACAGTGCACTGCTGGTGGTGGCACCGAGGGCGTCCAGATGCACTGCCAGCGTGCTCATGAGGAGAGAGGGGCCGCACGTGCCTGTATAGGGTGGAAGGGGAAGGGGTGTGAGTGAACGGGTGTGATTCTAACAGCCCCCATCAGGCAGGCGAGATCAAGGACTCTGGTGCTGCTGCTGGCAGCAAGCGCGTCCACATGCAGTGCTAGAATGGCCATGAGGAGAGAGACGGCCGCACGTGCCTGCACACAGGGGAATGGGACGGGGGCGGGGGTGAGAGAACGAATGTGAGCGTGGCAATGACTCCCTCCATCCCTCCCAGCCAGCCCCCCCCACCAGGCAAGCAGGCAGGGACTCTCTGGTGGTAGCAAGCGCGTTCAGATGCAGTGCTAGAATGGCCATGCGGAGAGACGGGCCACATGTGCCTGCACAGGGGAGTTGGATGGGTGTGGGAGGGGGATGGACTGAGAGGCATGGCATGGACACAGGAGGGCATCAGCCAAAGCACCTCCTCCTTCCACTTCCTCCCTCACTCCATCCCTCCCTCCCTCCTTTAATTTCTGTCACTCCCTCACTACCATTCTCCCACTCTCCTTCTCACTCCTCTTCTTATCACCTGCTAGACCCAGAGGCAGCACGCCTCGCATGGCATGGGAACAGGATGAAAACAACTGCTACAAAGCATCCGTCACTCCCACCCACTCCCACTTCCTCCCTCTCTTTCCCCCTCATCCACTTCTGCTTCTCACCTGCTAGCCCCAGAGACAGCGCGCCTCGCATGGCATGGGCACAGGAGGGCATCAGCCGAAGGACCTTACCCTCCCCCTCTCTCCTTCACTCCCTCCCTCGCTCCCTCCACTCCCTCCCTCACTCTCTCTCTCACTCCCTCCCTCACTCCCTCCCTCACTCCCTCCACCTGCTTCTCACCTTGTAGACCCAGAGACAGCACGCCTCGCATGGCATGGGCACAGGAGGGCATCAGCCGAAGGACCTCCAAATGACATTGCAGTAGAGTGAGGGAGTGAGTGAGAGAGTGAGTGAGGGAGTGAGAGGAGGATGGGGGTAGGGGGGATTCCTGAAGTTGGACGCACTGTAGCAGCAAGGCGCGGATCCTGAGAGCAGGGAGGGAAAGAGAGACAGTAAGAGGTAAGGGAAGACGCACATGGGAGGGAAAAAAGCAAATGAGCAGGGGAAGGGAGTGGGTGGAATGCACATGTGGAAGTTCGAGAGTCCTGAAGCTGCACGCACTCAAGCAGCAAGGCGCGGATCCGGAGAGCAGGGAGGAAGGGGGAAGATGGATAAGCGCACGGGAAGGAAAGCAGCAAGGCAGAGGGAAGGGAAAGAGGCATATGGGAAGAAAATTACATGACAGGGGGAGAGGACGGAGGAAGAAGAGTGAGAAATACTATACGACCCTTTTTTATTTTCATTTTTAATGTGGAAGGTAAAATAATACAAGTGGTCATTTAGGCATTTGAAATACTGAAAAAGGTTACTGAAGTTACCAACTTAGCCATAAGTTCTGCACTAAACCATGCCCTGAGTGCAGGACTAAGCCCTGAGTAGTACCTGAATGGATGGATGGAGCGTGCAACAGCAGGCAGGCACGAGCGGTGCAGAATGTCCAGAGCCACTCTCACTCCTCTGGTGCCCTGGGCCGCAAGAATCTGTGTCAGAAAGAAAGGGACGGATACGAGAATCAGCAGCAAGGGAGTGGGGCGAGAGACAGTGAGATATCAGTGACAGGGCAGGCAGGCACGAGCGGTGAAGAATGTCAAGGGCCACTCCCACTCCTCTGGGGCCCTGGGCCACGAGAATCTGCAGAGAGGGAGTGAGAGAAGAGGGCGAGGAGACAGGAGGGGAGGGGAAAGATAAGTGAGATCAGGAGGATGCAGGAGAGGAGAAGGATGTCAAGAGCCGCTCTCACTCCTCTGTAACCCTGAGGTACACGAATCTGCAAGGCAGGAAATGGGGTTGGAAGGAAAAACGGAGAAGAAGGGATAAGTGCAAGGCAGGAAATGGGGTACAGTTGGGGCATATCTGCTCTAGAGGCATGCAGGTGAACGAGGGGCACTAGAGCCGGGATGCAGAGGGGATCGGCTTGCAGTGTGTGCAGGAGGAAGGAGGCAGACTCTTGGAAGAGCTCGAGGGAGCAACGGGAGAGAGGAGGCAGGCGGAATGGGGTGGGGTGGAGGAGGAGAGGGATGGGGTTCAGGGAGAAGCTTACCTGAACTAGAGGCACGAGGGATGGGATGCAAAGGGGATCGGCTTGCAGTGTGCGGATGCTGCTTCCCCGGAGACTCGACTCAAAACACGTCCTCCGAGAGCTTGAGGGAGGCGGAGTGCGGCGTGGTAGGGTAGGTGGGGAGAATGGGACATAGGAGGAGCTTACCTGCACTAGAGGCACTAAGGCTGGGATGCAGAGGGGGTCGGCTTGCAGTGTGTGCAGGAGGAAGGATGCTACCTTGCGAGAGAGCAAGGGAGCGGCGAGAGAGAGGAGGCAGGCGGAATGGGGTGGCGGGGGAGGTAGGAAGAAGCTCACCTGCACTAGTGGCACTAAGGCCGGGATGCAGAGGGGGTCGGCTTGCAGTGTGCGCAGGAGGAAAGAAGCCGCTTCCCGGGATAGCTCGAGGGAGCGACGGGAGAGAGGAGGCAGGCGGAATGGGGTGGAGGGGGAGGGAGGAGGTGGGAGGATGAGGGGGCAGATGAGCGGGTCAAGATCTGCTTTGTGGGGGTGGGGGGAAGTGGAGGGAAGGAGGGATGGAGAGGATAAGAGAAAAAGACGAGACGGTGTGAGAACGGAAAAAAATGAGGGAGAAAGAGAAGTGCAGGGGGATGGGGGAAAAGGGGAAAGGAAGGGGGGTGAGAGGTATCGAGGACGAGCAGATAGAAAACGGTGGTGGATGCAGAAAGATAGAAACGGTGACAGAGAGACGAATCATAACTGTGTGAAGGGAGAAAATAGAGGGTGCAACAAAGCGAGGGAGTGGGTGGAAGGAGAGGGACGGACAGCAAGAGGGGAGGGACGGAAACAAGTGGGCCACACAAAACGGCAAGAGACATGACTCGAGAAAAAGTCCCGACACGCACCATATTTCCATGGCACAACGTATCTTGGAGCCTTTCCTCCCCCTCCTGCTTCTCTCCTTCCCCCTCCTCCTCCCATCCAGCCACTCTCCCCACTCCCCTCCATTGCCTCCCTCACTCCACCCATTCTTCCGCCCTCCCCTCCTCCCTTCTTCCACACTCTCCAAGCAAACGTCTCCTCCACCACCCTCCTTCCTCCTCTCCCCCCTCCTCCCCCATCCTCCTCCTCTTCTCCCTCCCCTTCCACCTCCTCCTCCCCCTCTTCCTCCTCCTCCTCCCCATCCTCCTCCCCATCCCCCCTGCCTCGCTCTCTCCCCCCTGCCATCACCTTCACCCCCTTCCCAAACGCCTTACACAGGCTCGCAGCCAGAACCCCACTGCTTGCCTCCTCTCTGCTTGCTTCCCACGCTTCCTCTAAAGTACAGTCTAGCACGAAGGGAGGGTTGAGGGGCAGAGGCCTTGGAGGAGGATGGGGGGGAAGTTGGGGGGAAAAGGGTTCTCCACTAGAAAGATTCCAGAAACCAGCAGTGTATGCCTCTCCTTCCGATGCCATTTCAGTGATATTCGAGCCTGTAACGGCGTAACAACCGCCGTCGTTATCGTCGTAACCACCAAAACGCATCAACTCCTGCTCGATCCACCCATCCCCCTCCTCCTCCTCTTCTTCTTCTTCGTCCTCCTCCCTTCCTCCTATTCCCCTAATGTACCCTCGCCTCTTGCCCCTTCCCCCTCCAAAACTACTCCCCTTTGACCCACCCTCCTGTTGCTCCCTCCTCCTCTTCCTCCTCTCCCATTGGTCCAGCAGCGCCAGCTCAGGAACCTCCACGTCAGCGCCACGATCACCATCACCATCACAATCCCCATCACCCATATCCACATCCATATCCCCATGCATGCCCCCATCCGTCGCTCCATCCATCCGCCCATGATTGTCCCTCTCCCCATCATCCATTCCATCCATGTCTGAATTGAAGCCGTGGTGGGTATGCGAGGTGGAGGGCAGCTGCAGGAGGTCCTTCTGGGCGGCAGAGAGCCAGTGGGAGTACTGGATGAGCGCGCAGAAGAGGAGAGGAGAGGGGTCGGAGCGATAGGGGGGGAGGTTGACCACCCTGCACGGACAGGGGGAGTGGCAGGGAAGCAAGAACGGGAGAGCCAGTGGGAGTGCAGGTCATGATTCATGAGATCAAGTCCCTTAACTTAAGTACATCGGAAATGGACAAGAGATGGATGGGTGGCAAATCGGGGGCAATTCCAACCCCAATGAGACCGGGTGAAATCTCCAATTGGTGGGTTGGAGATTTCGGTTGATCACATTTGGGTGAGGTTGGTTGGGATGTTGGTAATACCCAACCCGCACAAACTGCAAACTACACTAAAAATGTTAAAGTTGAGGGAAGGGTTACCTCTAGGTTCACCACACCACACTGCACAGACAGAGGGAGTGGGGGACGGGGGAGGGGAGCACTATTAAAGGGAAGGACTGACCAGACCAGGGCCTCCGGTCCCATCCCAGCATAGCATCCATATTCCCGTAACACAGCGAGGCCCAGAGGTTGTAAGACACAGCGAGTACTATTCCCCTAGCACCAGACTGCTGCTCCCTCAGAATTATGTCTGAAGATCGAGAGGAAGGGACGGACTGACCAGACCAGGGCCTCCGGTCCCACCAGCATAGCATCCATATTCCCCTAACCAAATCCCGAATCATCTCCTAACACAGGGTTTTCGAGGATTTGTATAAGCACCTTGGAAATGGAAGGGAGCTCACGTTTGCAGCGTTTGGAAGGCAGCGTCGAACTCGTTGGTCTCCATTTGGCACTTGGCTAGGTCTAGTAGCATCTGCCCCTTGCGCCTCTGATAGGGGGGGAACAAGGAGTATGGCACGTGGTAAGGAGAGAGGTTGAGGGAGGTTGAGAGAGGTTGATTGGAACGCAGCATCGAACTCGCTGGTCTCCATCTGGCACTTGGCGAGGTCCAGCAGCATCTGCTCCTTGCGCCTCTGATAAGAAAGGGAGGGGGGGGTTGTGGAGTGGTTGAGAGTGGTTTGAGGAAAAGGCAGCATCGAACTCGCTGGTCTCCATCTGGCACTTGGCTAGATCCAGCAGCATGTGCTCCTTGCGCATCTGATACGGGGAACATGGATGGGTTATGGAGTGGTTGAGTGAGGTTGAGGGAGGTTCGAAGGGAAGGCAGCATCGAACTCGCTGGTGCCCATGTGGCACTTGGCTGGATCTAGCAGCATCTGCCCCTTGCGCCTCTGAGGTGTGGGAGAGGGAAAGGCATGACACGTGGTAGCGAGCGAGGTTGAGCGAGGTTGGGGGAGGTTGAGGGAGGTTGAGGGAGGTTGAGGGAGGTTGAGGGAGCACTGAAACAAACACATTGGTCTCCATGTGGCACTCTACAGCATCTGCCCGGAGCAGAAAGGGGTTGTGGAGTGGTGGAGTGAGGTTGAGCGAGGTTGGAGGGAAAGGGAGTTCGTCTTCTTTGTGTGACGAATGGTAGGAACGGAGGTTGAGAGAGGTTGAGGGTAAGGCAGCACCGACACAAACTCGTTGGTCTCCTTGTGACACTTGGCTAGGTCCAGCAGCACCTGCCGCTTGCGCGTTTGAGATGTGCGAGAACAGGGAGGGGTTGTGGAGTGGTTGAGTAAGGTGGAGGGAGGTTCGAGGGGAGGCCAGCATGAGCACGAACTCGTTAGTCTCCATCTGACACTTGGCTAGGTCCAGCAGCACCTGCCCCTTGCCCGTTTGATCGGGGAAAACGGTACGGCATGTGGTAGGGAGGTAAGGAAGGTTGAGGGAAGTTGAGGGAAGTCGAGGGAAGTTGAGGGAAGTTGAGGGAAGTCGAGGGAAGTTGAGGGAAGTCGAGGGAAGTTGAGGGAAGTTGAGGGAAGTTGAGGGAAGTCGAGGGAAGTTGAGGGAAGTCGAGGGAAGTGGAGGGAAGTTGAGGGAAGTCGAGGGAAGTGGAGGGAAGTTGAGGGAAGTCGAGGGAAGTTGAGGGAAGTTGAGGGAAGTCGAGGGAAGTTGAGGGAAGTCGAGGGAAGTTGAGGGAAGTTGAGGGAAGTCGAGGGAAGTCGAGGGAAGTCGAGGGAAGTTGAGGGAAGTTGAGGGAAGTCGAGGGAAGTGGAGGGAAGTTGAGGGAAGTCGAGGGAAGTCGAGGGAAGTGGAGGAAAGTTGAGGGAAGTTGAGGGAAGTTGAGGAAAGTTGAGGGAAGTTGAGGGAAGTCGAGGGAAGTTGAGGGAAGTTGAGGGAAGTCGAGGGAAGTTGAGGGAAGTTGAGGGAAGTCGAGGGAAGTTGAGGGAAGTTGAGGGAAGTCGAGGGAAGTCGAGGGAAGTCGAGGGAAGTCGAGGGAAGTTGAGGGAAGTCGAGGGAAGTCGAGGGAAGTCGAGGGAAGTTGAGGGAAGTCGAGGGAAGTCGAGGGAAGTCGAGGGAAGTTGAGGGAAGTTGAGGGAAGTTGAGGGAAGTTGAGGGAAGTGGAGGGAAGTTGAGGGAAGTTGAGGGAAGTGGAGGGAAGTTGAGGGAAGTTGAGGGAAGTTGAGGGAAGTTGAGGGAAGTTGAGGGAAGTCGAGGGAAGTTGAGGGAAGTTGAGGGAAGTGGAGGGAAGTGGAGGGAAGTTGAGGGAAGTTGAGGGAAGTTGAGGGAAGTTGAGGGAAGTCGAGGGAAGTCGAGGGAAGTTGAGGGAAGTCGAGGGAAGTCGAGGGAAGTCGAGGGAAGTTGAGGAAAGTTGAGGGAAGTCGAGGGAAGTCGAGGGAAGTTGAGGGAAGTTGAGGGAAGTTGAGGGAAGTCGAGGGAAGTTGAGGGAAGTTGAGGGAAGTTGAGGGAAGTCGAGGGAAGTCGAGGGAAGTCGAGGGAAGTTGAGGGAAGTCGAGGGAAGTCGAGGGAAGTGGAGGGAAGTTGAGGGAAGTCGAGGGAAGTTGAGGGAAGTCGAGGGAAGTTGAGGGAAGTTGAGGGAAGTCGAGGGAAGTTGAGGGAAGTCGAGGGAAGTTGAGGGAAGTTGAGGGAAGTCGAGGGAAGTGGAGGGAAGTTGAGGGAAGTGGAGGGAAGTTGAGGGAAGTTGAGGGAAGTTGAGGGAAGTTGAGGGAAGTCGAGGGAAGTTGAGGGAAGTCAAGGGAAGTTGAGGGAAGTTGAGGGAAGTTGAGGGAAGTCGAGGGAAGTCAAGGGAAGTTGAGGGAAGTTGAGGGAAGTTGAGGGAAGTCGAGGGAAGTTGAGGGAAGTTGAGGGAAGTTGAGGGAAGTTGAGGGAAGTTGAGGGAAGTCGAGGGAAGTCGAGGGAAGTCGAGGGAAGTTGAGGGAAGTCGAGGGAAGTTGAGGGAAGTTGAGGGAAGTTGAGGGAAGTTGAGGGAAGTTGAGGGAAGTTGAGGGAAGTTGAGGGAAGTTGAGGGAAGTTGAGGGAAGTTGAGGGAAGTTGAGGGAAGTTGAGGGAAGTTGAGGGTAGTTGAGGGAAGTTGAGGAAGTGAGGAAGTCGAGGGAAGTCGAGGGAAGTTGAGGGAAGTTGAGGGAGGTGCAAGGAGGTTGAGGAAGGTTGACAGCAAGGTAGCATGAAAGCGAATTCGTTTGTCTCCTTCATCTGGCACTTGCGCCTCTGAGGGAGGTTGAGAGGGCAAGGGGGAGCGTTGGAAATGGCATGTGATAGGGAGGTTGACGAAGGTGAATTGAGAGGGAGGTTGAGAGAGTGGTACCTACCTGGACCTTATATCAGAACCAAGCTTTCCCCCTTCAAACCACAACCCAGCTCCTCATAATTGCACGCATCACCTCTCTTACACCACCCACTAGGGATGAGCAAATGGCGAACTCGAACACGTTTGGGTTCGAGTTCGCTCGAACATCATCTTTTCCCGAACCGAACACAGTTCGGTTCGGCGAACACTTTGAGCAAAAAATGGTGTTCGCCGTTCGCCTGTGAAGGCGTGTTCGGGCGAACCTCGAACAGTGTTCGTGTTCGTCACGGGCAAATTGCAGCGGCGGCCCGAACACGAACGTGTTCGGGCGAACATCGAACACTGTTCGGCGAACATTTTAAGCCAAAAAAAAATACCTGTTCGGTTCGCCTCGAACACGTTCGAGGCGAACCGAACAGGTGTTCGCCACCTTGCTCATCCCTACCACCCACACACACCACCTACTTCCCTCCTTCTTCTTCACCTCCTTCTTGAGAGCTTTCGCTTGCATGAACACCACCCATCTTCTCCTCTCAAAGCAATATTCATCCTATAACTTCCACCCACGCACACCGCACCAACCCTCCCCCTGTCACCACTCACGTCATACTCTTGCTTGAGAGCTATCGCTTGCATGAACACAAACCATCTATCCCTTCACAGAAGAAACCACAAATCTCCACCACTCACACTCTCTCCACTGCCCCTGCCCCGTGCACTCACGTCATCCTCTTGCTTGAGAGCTATCGCCCGCCTGCATGAACACCACCAGTCGCCTCCTCTCACTGCAGGACCCGCGCACACCACGCCTACTCCCCCTTCACTCTGACACCATCCCACACACCACAGCCCTGCTCAGTGCTTCTTTCACTCACGTCATCCTCTTGCTTCAGAGCTATCGCCCGCCCGCATGAACACCACCAGTCGCCTCCTCTCCGAGCCGTGATCATCATAATAATACACTACCCATACGCACCAGCAGCCATATTCCCCCCATCACCACTCACATCGTCCTCTTGCTTGAGAGCTATCGCTCGCATGAACACCACCAGTCGCCTCCTCTCTGCCCTCCGCCGCTCACTGCTGCTGCTGCTGCTGCCACCACCACCACCAGCAGCAGCAGCACCACCACCAACGCTCCCACTGCCTCTGCTGCTGAAGCCCTTGCGCCACAGCTCTCGCAGCAGAACGAGCGCTTGCTGGGGGAGGGAATCAAAGAAAAGAGGAAGGCAGACAGGCAAAAGTATCAGGACTGCCCTCCCACATGCAGCACTGTCCCTGCAGCTGCTGAAGCCCTTGCGCCAGAACTATCGCAGCAGCACCAGTGCTGCCAGCACGCCTGCTATGTGCATGCATACTTCATACCAGAGTTTACTTTTGAGGCGCCTCAAAAGTCGTCTATGTGCATGCATACTTCATACCAGAGTTTACTTTTGAGGCGCCTCAAAAGTCGTCTATGTGCATGCATACTTCATACCAGTGTTTCCAGCTCAGGAGGCTTTTCGGAAGCGAAGGGTTTTTCAGATCTGCGTTTTTTTCACTTGATTTTTTCACTGTTGTTCCTTTGCTTAAGCGTCCAGTCAACCACTGCAGCCCTTCGAACATGATTCAAGGTGCATACTTCAAACCAGAGTTTCCAGCTCAGGATGGCTCCTCCTTACCTGGGATTCCAGCCATATCTGTTCATGTACAGCGCTCCGAGTCACCTCAGCATCCTTACCCGCATCCATCAGAGCCGCCAGCACGCCTGCCGCCTGCTGCACCTCCTGCCTTTCCCTCACCTGGTGCTAGTGACCTGAACTCAAGCCTCTGGTTTGGGGCTTGGGACTCTGGTTTTCCCTTACCTGGGATTCCATCCAGCCAAATGGGTTCGTCAACAGCCCTCCTGGTCACCTCAGCATCCTTATCCGCATCCATCAACGCGGCCAGCACCCCTGCTGCCTGCTCCACGCCCTACCGTCCTGTGATCAATGCAAGGGGTTTCTCCTTACCTGAGACTCGAGCCATATTGGTTCATCCACAGCCCGTCTTGTGACTTCAGCGTCCTTATCCGCATCCATCAGAGCCGCCAGCACGCCTGCTGCCTGCTCCACCTCCCCTCGGAACATCATCCTCCTTAAAAGCCGCCTCAGCATCTGCCGGTGCACCGCTGGCAGACGAATGCAGCCGCCCCGGAAGCCCAGCGTGCGGGCGGCACTCCGGCCGCGCCGCCCGTCTGCGGTGAGGGCGGTGAGATCGTTGCCGTAATCCAAATGCCGCCACTCTTGATTGGATGTGAACCGGAAGGGCGGGAGAGTCGTGTTGGGTGCAGTTGATGCAGCTGCTGCTGCTGCTGCTGCTGCTGCATCAGCAGCAGCAGCAGGAGCGGAGCGAAGACGAGCAGAACCAGCACCAGAACCACCAGCAGCAGCACCAGAAGCATTACCAGAAGCTGTGGCGACTCCTCCTCTTTTTGGGGTTGCATTCTTCCTGCGATTCTG